TATTTTCTGAGGTGCTAGACATACAACGAACTCAGATATATTACTGAGTGCTAGCTCCAAACATAGTAACATTAAAACTACAAGTACTAAATCATGATAAAATTTAGAAAACCAGGATCAACGCAAAATTTCTCTCAATTTTCCTATAGGCATCAGGTTTTCTAATTTAATGAGGATATTTGATCTCAATCTATTCAGATTTGAATTTTATGCACTTTCTATTCCAGAGTTCATTGCAATTTACAGAGAACTGCTACAGAGCAGGAAAACAGAGGGAGGAAGAAAGTGGGAGAGGGAAACAGGCAACACACAGGACAGACTGGACCAAACAAAACCACCAACCAACAAACAAATACAAAATACCCAAAACAAAACCAGACTTAAGGAAGCATTAACAATTCAGTTTTCAAATGTGAGGCTAAAATCTTTACTACATCGCTTATGTAGAGTTTAGTGTTTTCCAAAGCATACCTACATCTCAGTCTGTAAACTGCTTCTGTTCTAATTTAACAAGTTCAGCCTATTAATAATATCATATGAAGAGCAGCATTTTGTTTATCTCACTAAAATCCAGAAATTTGCTACACTGCCCTGCCATTAAATCCCTGTCAGTGCAGAAACATTCCATTGGGGCTGCATTTGTTCATTATTGAAATACACTTTTCTTTGAGTCTCACTAGAATCAAGCTTTATCAAAAACACTACATGAAAAAACATGGTATCTGAAGTTCAGCCTCTATCGCTTCTTTTTTGGGAAAAGTTTTTGGAAAGGGAAGAAAGAAATGGAAGTGAAAATCTGTCCCAGAAGACTCCAAAACTGGTTATTTATATGACATAAAGAGAGGATGATCTATTTTGTCACTTGCAAATCTCTCTCTTTGTGTCTCTTTCCTCTCCCCAACTTTTGTAGATGTAGATGGGGCAAACCTGAAGTTAAGCTCCAGAAAGTATCTGGGAAATGCTTTAATTCTATGGATAATTTGAACCCAAACACAACTGATTCCAGCTTGTCCAGTTTAGGCAAAGCAGAACCTCAGCAGTGAACAATCTGACATGTATACAGTAAAATCTCCAACTAGGCTCTGGCAAAGAATTTATTTCCTTCTTTCTTCCCTCCTAATATAGAGAAGTGCAATTGGGTGGGTGACTCCAGAGAAGAGCAATTGCTAAGAGACATTTCCACAAGGACTTTCAAGGCCAAAGAGTCAGAGACCACCTGTGCTAAAAGGAACCATCCCAACAAGCCAGAGGCCATGTGCACATCAGCAAGGGGCTTCACTGGGAACAGAGCTGTGCAATGAGACTGTTGGTGCTCATGACCTGACATGCTACCAGGAATATTTCATTAGGGTTTATCTCAAAAAAGAACAAATCTAAGCCCACTAGGGACTGAATGCAGTCAGTGAGCATTGAAAATGCTCTTGGAAAACATTGTCCTTTCAGTTTAATCTGAAAGAGATCCGAAAAAGCACCTCAAGACTTCTCCATGGTATGAATCAAAGCACATTTACCAGGGACAAGCAGATTAGAAGCACATTCCTGATCTGAACTAAACTACTAATCTAGACACACTATAAATTCTTCTGCATGAGATCCTAACAGCACAATACGCAGAGGAAAGAAAATTATTTTGTACTATGCACCCCTGAAAAGTGGAATCAGAATGCATCTTCCAAACTAAAGTGATGCTATGTAAAAGCCAAACAGATAGGCAGGCTTTTTTTTAATCAAAGATAATGGAAGGAGGCAATTTAAGGTAATTTTACTCCTTTTAAGAGTAAAAATTGCTTTTACATTTCAATCAAAAGAGGGCATCTATGCAGCATAAGCCACAGAGCGAAGCACCAAGCAGTTATCTCCTCTAGTGTCTTGGATATTTCTCCAGTGGCATTCAGGTGACAGAAGAAAAATCAGGATTTTTTACAGGCTTAAGACCTTTGACACTCTTATCTTTTTCTTTTAATCTAATCACAAAAAAAAAAATTAAAGGTATTTTGACATGCCTCAATGGAAATAAAATTATTTTTATTCAGACTGAAATTAAATATAGTTACAAAACTCCAAAACAATCTCTTCTCAGTACTCTGTGAGGGGTTATAAGACAATAGCAATTTTGTATATTTATCTGGAAATGTTTACAGCACACTTAAGAATTTCTTTCTTAGTTAAGGAATTTCAAAGTTACTAATGTCAATGGTGATCTGATGCCAAATGAAACACAATTTTTATCCACTGCAGTTGCTCAGTTCTTAGTGATCATGGGTAATATTTGCAAATCTGTAGAGACTTCAAGTCAAGCTGTGACCTTGAATTTCAATATCTCAATATTTTTACCCAATTTTAAGAAAACCTAGATATGTACAGCTCTTGAGTGATTTAGAGACACTACACAATGTAGAAAAGTTGAGACTTCGCACACTTTGCTTCTGCCTCTCAGACTGGCCAGAGCAAAAAATAATGAAGCATAAATCCATTAGCTGCCCTGAACAGTTCAGTTGTTTTCTGTTCTGGTAAAACTGAGCAATAGTGAAAAAGATGATACCATAACAGAGGAGGAAAGGGTGTTCTTTTGCTTTGAGAGGTTTAGGATTCAAATTCAGTAGTGGCAAGAATCAAAAGAAAGTAAACGAGGAAGTATCATGACATCTGTAATATGGTGTAGCAGTTCTGGGAACAAAAATCACCTCTTCAGACAAACAAAATTCCTGTAGTCCAGCAAATAATATTAATTTCAAGCTACTACTATATTAAGACAAAAGTCCCACTATAACATAAAGCCAAAGTGGTCAGTAGTCCTTAATGTACATGTGTGCGTAGTTTTGATTGTAGAGCACTGACTGCATGATCCTGCCTTATTCATCACATAGATGCAGATAATGCTTTCATGAATAAACAACAAAAAAAATTGCTATGGAGGTAAATTTTCTTACCAAAATCTGATAGGTCTGTCTCTGCTCCAGTCTTTTCTCAGCATTTGTCTAAGTCCATTACATTCTCATCCTGGTTTTAATACCATCATTCCGGCATTTTTTTTCTCAAAACTGAGCTAAACCATCCACAGTAGACCAGAATTAAATCTTTGTAACTCTTGAACATGGCACACAGTAAGCCTTTTTAAAAAATATAGATATAAGGGATGCATAGAAATTATATAATTACATCATTATTTACCTTCTGACACCATTTTAAAAATGCTGACAGGCTTGTAGCCTATAAATAATTGCACGTGTGTATTTTTGGAAACCATTTAAGAAAGAGTTCCGGAGGGAAACGTTCACAAGCGAGCTGTACCGGGGGAGCCGCCAGAGGGAGAGCTGGGCGCGCTGCAGCGCGGGGAGCCGGGCGGGCAGGGCAGGACACACACATACACATACGGTCACACACGGTCACACGATCACACACCTCCACGCACCGAACTCTTCCCAAAGGAAATGTCTGTCAAATCACAGCATTCGGGTTCCTGTGCAATCTAAAGATGCAAATCTCGACCGAAGGAGTTGATACTAAGCACCGTTAAAGATTAGTCTTTTGACCTCCTTTAAAATTATTTCCATACTAGTATTTAATATATTTTTCTTCTCTTTTCCTGAATAAAAAGCAACTAGGGCAACACAGAAAGGAGAATAAAAGGATCTGCAGGAGTTCTACCTGGCCAAGTGAAGAAAGGACACCTACAAAAGCATATTTTCCACTTCTTTTATGTTTACCTACCCAAAAGATGGGAAGAAGTCAAGAAGGAACACTAGGAGGTGGTACCATGACAGAGCTCACCAGCCTTCAGTTTCTGCTGGTAGGATACCAAATTCTGTGACTAGTGAGTTTCAAAAGTCAGTAGATCTCCCCATCAGCAAGGAACAGAATTAATTTCTAGCTGGCAACCTCAGCCAGCAGGAGTTACCTCTGGGAATTGGGGCACTCTGCTGGCAGAATACAGCTGGCATCAGCCAAGTGTGGACTTGGTCACAGATTGCCACACAGCTGATGTTCTGTGCTAACCAAAGCCTGTGCCACGCTACTTTTACTCATATTACAAAACATATAACAATATCCCAGCTGGCCTTTGAATATTTCCACACAGCAAAGAGATCCCAAACAGCCAAAATGGAAAGAATTACAAAGACCATGTCTTTCACTTATAGTTCAGAGATTTAACAGTCCCTGAAACCTCCACTACAAAGTGCTGTGGTCCTTCACATTTCTGACCCATTCCCTATCTCCCTGCTTTCTTAGCTCTTTGTTCCCGACACATTTGTTTAGGGAAGCAGCTTTTCCAGATTATTCAATCTGTCTCATATACAACTTGAATAGTTAAAAATTAATATTCTTTTGGCTACATCCCCTTCAGATTGGATGGAGATATTCTGTGTTATGGAAGTGTATGTGAATCTTGCAGAGTCTGAGATATGTCTCAGAGGGCATCCTCTCCAAAACAGAGCCACATTCTCTCTCACTCTTCCCACACAACTAAATGGATAAATCGAGGTGTCATGAAAATTGACACAGGAAAATCCAACAGGTGCCATTAAATTATTGCTTTCAAAGCAATTTTGCTTGAATCAAAACAAATATTGAACACATATCCAGTATAGCATTCTCGTTGTATCCCTAAAAATATTCATCGTTCCTGACCACACAAGTTCCATTTTAGAATTCATTCGCTGCGGTTTTCCTGAGTAGTGTCAAGACACAATTTCATTGAAAACAGTTCATTATATGAAAGTTTAACACTTTAAAAAAACCCCCAACCTTTAGCACCTGCCCAGCATTTTTATCTGTTCAGACATTACAGTAAATCACAGTATCTACCTCACCTGCTTATTTATCTAGGATATGTCCAGAACAAAGGCCACAATAAATGCCAAAGTGAGGGCTGCACCCACTTATAAATCATACAGCCCCAGGTCTCTCTCTTAGCAGCAGGTTAAAAATTTACTCGATTTTAACTGACATACAACTCACATCAATGATAACTGATTTATCAGAGGAAAAGTCTTTAGCAAGTATTCTTTAGTCCACCATAGACATTTCGAAAATATCTGTTTCCTTCCATTTATCTTAGCCCCAAAAACGACTTCACCTGGATAGATATATGCATGAAGAAAGCACAATAACATAGCATCAAAAGGATTTATAATTCAGACTTTGCTGCTTCCAGTCCTCTACCTTGTTGACAATTGCAAAGTGGTGCTGATAAATGTGACATCAAAATGCAGTCTCACACTTTGGTTTCTGAACATCAACAACAAAGAAGGTAAGGTCACTATTTCTTAAAATCTATTTTCTAAAGAAATGTGTCTATCAAAATCTGTCTTTACGTAGTATTTTCATCCTGCTCTTCATTCTGCTTTTCTTACTTACTGAAAGAAACCTCCTGGTTTTTACATCTGCAGTTATGATGTGGATCTGGAGTAGGAGTTCTTGTGCTTTCAGATGTGGGAGGAAAGGACAGAGAACTATTTGTATGAGTGCACTATAACTTCAATGCATTTGTGCCAGCTCACAATGGATGAGTATCTATTTCAAAGGTAGAGCTACACAAATCTTAAAATATATGTGTGCCTGTGTCTGCAGCTATTCTTGAGAGACAAGGGGGAAATGGTGAAAAAGGGTAGAATGACAGATGGAGGAGAAAGATAGTGTTACTGAAATGTAGGTGGATTTAATCTAATTGTTCTAAACCTGCTTCTGTGACATGAAATAGCATTAAAGAGTGACTTGGAATACAGAAAAATACAGTGGTCACTGTGCTGATTTGGCCATCAACAATGCAGCAATGCATAGAAATCATTCCAATTTACATAGATACACCGAGCCTGTGGTTTTGGCCTTAATTTAAACCAGTTTTTTTTCACTGTCAGAACTAGAATAATTTATATTAATAAACAAGCCTAGTTAGCCAGTTCTAGTTGTTTAAACGTTCTGTGTGATCAGGAAAAGCATCAAAAAGCACTGTGAGGAGAGCCATCATCAAGTAACAAATATATATATGTATAACAAATGAATAAACAAATACTACTTCTGCTTTGCTCTATGCATAGTCTTGAGGCCCCAGAGCTATATCCAGCAATGGATTGTTTTAAACATCCCCCACACTGAGTTTCCTGCTGTCTCGTGATGTTTCCATTATCAGAAGTCACATTCTCATGAAGATTTTGTCTGACCTAACTTCTCAGTCCCTAACCTCTATAAATTACAATTCCTGCTCAGCTTTTCTCACTCTCAAAATTGGTTATTTCACCTTTCAAACACTCTAGAACCTTAGCCTTCTCTTGAAGTTGCTGGAAAAAGGTAATTTAAATCTTCTCTTTCTTGTCTCTCCAAATTATATCCCCAGACTGAAATAAAAGGACAATCTCAATTTTCTCTGTTATATTTTGCCCCTCTCCTCCCTAGCCCCTGACCTGTCTGTAGATGCCTGCAGACAGAGCTTTTCTTTTGCACGAAGGAGACATTTCCCCTGACCTTCTACCTTTCTGTCACACCCTGCTTTAACAGTGATATGCAGAATATTCATTTCAGATTTAAGTCTCAGAGAAGAAAATTAACCACAGTGATTTTTTTGCCTACTTGTGGTAAATTATAGCCTTGGATCCATTGTTTTGAATCTGTTTTGTTAGAGATATTTGTCTGTTTTAGGAAAACAAGCAGATGAATTAGGAGCTGGTTGAGAAATTACCGAGTTTCTCCCATGCTTTCACTATAGCTGTTGGGTGTTCATTATTTCGTTTAAATCATACACATAACATAAAATATGGGGGTTTTTTCCCTTTAATGTGTAAAGTTACAAATCAAATTAAAGTGTTCCCGTGCAGATTGCCTAGGAATGTAGAATCTCAGCTCCACTGTCAATCAACTCACCATGCACATCACAGTAGAAACATCGATGCTTACACAAGGCACCCAAACACACTGCATGAATGGACACAAAGATGAGAAAGGAAAATCGTGAATTCTTGGGCACTTTGCTGAACTCTGAAATCTACCTTACTTTTATGGTGAAGTTTGCACATGGAATCGGTGGAATGACATTTTCCACAAACTTCTAAAAAAATATTGTCATGAAATTCGTTTAATCTCAGGATAACTATCTCAACAAAGAACTCCTCCACTAAATTCCTGTGAGAGGGATTAAGCAGATGCAGGTTATGTAGTGAAGACTTTTATTGACTATGGTTTTAAAAATATCACTTATTTAAGAAATTACAATACATCCAGCCTCAGGCACAGAGAATGCTGAAATCAAATTCTGGCAACTTTACTCCAATGGATGGCCATTAATTTCTATAGCATTTTTTCTTGAGGAAAGGACATATAAAGTTGTCTCTATTTGTGTGCTTCTGTTGGCTAAATATCACGGTAAATTCCCCACAGAAATCCATGACCTAGATAAACATAAATGTGTTACAGATTTTCAGCAGTGCTGTAGTGCCATTCTTTTTCTTGTTTGCATGAGAAAAATGTTAGTTTTTTTTAAATTCTTGGTGAAACATTTTCTGTCACTGTGTCAGAAGTGACAGAACATGGTTCATAGAGCGAAAGGCAGAGGGCAAACAGCAGCCCTGTGATTGCCTGGCACTGTCTGTGTCACCTTCAGCCTGGGACTTGTACGAATCTGTCACAACCAGCTCTGCAACTGATAGCAAGGTTTATGTGCACACAGAGCAACAGGAGCCTGTAGGAGTTCACTAATTTAAGTACATGGAAGCAGGAAAGAAAAGGCATAATAGTCTTGCCATGAAAGTCTGAAGGTAAAAGGGATGAGGGGAGGGTAGGAAGGCTGGGTGTTGAGGGGAAGTCTGGACTGACTCAGACTGACAGCAGTAACAGCCTGTTCCACTGCAGTCTGCCAGTGCACATCATTTCCAGCAGTGCTACAGAGCTGGACTCAGCAGTGGTAATCATAGCTCAACGCCTTTCCAGCTGCTTCCAGGTGGTATTTTTTGTAACAAAACAGAGTAACTTTATGAAAGCATTTTAATCAGAGTAAACTGGCGCTCACTGAACATGATCACAACTTAAGAAAGATGCTTCCACTTGTTTAAAGACACTTGGAGTTTTGAAATCCTAGTGGGATTTCACAATCTGCAATGGAAATACAGTGTCAGATTCTTCAGTATTATACATTTCCATATATGCCAAAGGACAGTGTGACTCCTAGCAAACACTACAAAGGTGTGGCTATAGGGTTTTTCCTACCAATAGTTCTCTACATTTTCTATATCTTCACTTATAATTTCAGAAAGTATTCCTCTGCTTATGCTAAAGCCAACACACTTCTCCTATTCCTTTTCATTCCTGTACACCTTGGAAGTACCTTTGTCCATGCTGATTACTAAGGAGGTTCCAAGAGCCAGGTTTCCTGGCTGATGGCACGAAGCTGCCAGTGAGCAGCACTTCTATTAGCCATTAGCTAGGGAGACTCCCACTCCATCTGTTGCCTCAGAGAGATTTCAATGGAAAGATTACCCAGATTTGATATGGAATATTCCCAGCTTGGGAAGGACTCATGCTCAGTAGATGATAATAATATTAGTCTAATATTTAAAGTGTGTCAAGCAGTGCAAACAGGTTAAAATATTTAATTATGGATTCATTGAGGTATGAATTAACTCAGTGGTGCTATGCTGATAGCTTAATTCTCAAATTCATATGTAATTTTCTACTTTGGATGAACCAGGAATTGATTGAAATAGTCAACATAGACCTGTGAACAAATAAAATTAGGGAAGAGGAGGTGAATTTTTTACTGTATAATACAGTGTTTACTTTCAGTGTACAATATAACCCCTGAGATTAGCATACCAAAGCAATTTTCAGGCAATTAGCACGTATAAGAAAGGCTTTGGAGAAATCATTGACACAGCAAACACTTGACAGGCCTACCAATGAATGTTCTTATGAAAACAAACACATAGAAGCTACTGGAAGTTCTTTCTTAAAATGTCTGCTGTGGTCCAGACATCAAGTGATGGATGACTTGTCACACACTATTGCTACAAAGCAACCATTTCTAGTAAATACAGAATCTATATAAATATGCAAATAAACTTATATGAAACAGGACTTTTTGCTGGCATTTTTACCTGTACTTTTCTGGAAAATGTCACATGAAAACTGCAGAAAAGCATGGCTCTCTCTGTAATATATATATAAACCATTCAGTTAATAATCCATTTCCTTTTCCTATTCAGACTTTAAGGCAGGGACATCACAATACAGTAATATTTAACAATGAAATCTGGTCTGTCTAAAGCTTGTTACAGAAAATTGGAATATTTTTTACATGTCCATTTTCTTGTAGCTTCATTTGTGCAGTTCTATTTTAAAATGTGCAAAACTGCCTTAACTATGCAATTATTGCATACAGTCAGTGAATCTGAGAAATAATTCCAGATAGCAGCGTTTTATACCCTGACAAAAACTCTGTGCACCTCTGGCTGCAAATTGCAGAAAAGGAATAAAAGGACTAAACACTGGTTTTGCTTTTTTGGGAGGCCTAAAAATGCTGCCTTGAGAACAAAAAAAGGCCATATTCGTAGGATCCCGATTTCCTGTCAGAAAAATTACATCAGACTTCTCTTAAGTAGGTTACAGAAATCTCTGTTATTGTGGTTGCACCCATAATACCTGATCCACTCCCAGTTATAGAACAGGATCAATCAACTGAAAGTACATCAGGACAAAGGCTCAGAGATCCTTGCACTTCAACAGCTGTACATGGAGGTGGACAAGTGGCCCTTGAGCCCAGTTATAAAGTTTCTGCTGATGATTACAATGGAATTTGGGTGTGAATCCATTCACCTTCAATTCCTCTATCTAGAATGTGATAAGACCAAGCCAACAATTCAGGCTACAGTTGTGCTTATACTTAAATGCCTTCTTTTCCTGTTTGCCACATTTCCTTTTTTAAAAGGCCATCCTGTGGGAATAAAGAGCTCAAAAGCAAAATAAAATAATAACCTTTTGCATTTCATAATGAGATGTTTAGAGCACTCATCTTCCTTCACATCACCAAACATTTTTCCAGCTCACAGCTGTTTCAAAGACATATTTGAGGTCTGAACACAAACAGTGCTTTGTTTCTATATTTATGGTAAGATCTTCGGATGTAAAGATTACAGATGTTTTCCATTCTCAAATAGACGCCATTGCAACTTGCTTCACTCAGGAGAAAGTTTCCATTAGTCTGGAAACAGCCAATGCTGGCAGTGTTAGCTGAGCAAACAGTAAACAGGAAAATACAGATGCTAG